AAATAGTCTTAGTCAGAAGATTATTTAAAAATACAAAATTTTCACTTCTCGGCGTTCGTCCTTTCCTTTCTTCACCCCCCCCCCCTCCCCCACCTTCTTTTACTTAAGACCGAACTGGCGTGGACCACCCTTCCCGAACACTATTTTTTAATTAAGAAAATTTTTCCCTAGATAATGACACAAAATCAAGAAGAATGGAAGGCTAAATTTAAATTTGAGTTGCGACCGCTTAAAGTGTTAAGCCTATGTTGGCGATTTGAAAAAAATAACGATCCGGAACTTTTTTTTAAAAATGGTTTCTTAGTCATGTTTCTATCATTTTTTATTATTATTTATATATCAAAACATAGGATGATAATTTGTCGAATAAAATATTTTTTTTAAAAAAATATCTATTATATCTCAGACTAGTATCTCAGACGCCATTTAATCGTTAATGGCGTCTGAGATACTAATAATTTTTTAAAAATATATTTTATATTATGCAAAAATAATTAATTCGACAATTTATTCCTTTGTTTGGCAATACAATAATACCGGATATCGGTACTAAACCGAGACAAATCGTTTGACTAACAGTTTTCTTCTAGGAGCGCATTACGTACCGGCTATTATTTTTCAGTCCAGAAAATTTTATTAATATTTTTTTCAGTTTAATTTTACTATTCAATTCATATTCTTTTATTTATAAATAAATTTTTGCGTTTATTCTATTTTTTTTAAAGGAGCTACTTTATTTTTACTTTTCTTTTAAATTGATAAAGCGCATTCGCCCTCTCAACGTTGTTTAGACAACAGAGCTACGCTAGGTATTTCTCATTTCCATCTAATTGGATTTATACAAAAATTTAAAGGAAAAGATGAGAAGCCTTTTACACGTGTGTAGACAAGCCGTACATACTTGTATGCACAATAAACGTCTGTGGGCTGATTCAGAAGGAAAGGACCAAAATAAACAGCCCACATTCTACAGCCCTATTACATTTAAAGTAAAAGGATTAGGGGAAGGCTTTCTTGATGTCAACATTTAAAGTGTGAGTTAAAAAAAATATGATAATTTTATAAGAAATGAAATGTATTCTTGTTGAAGGTATTTGATTAGTTGAGGAGGGGAGGGAGTAAAGTGGCAAAAAAAGGAATATTATTTTAGGTAACTAGACTTAACCTTCTTTTATAAATTTTTTATTGTTATTTAGTTTAGTGAATTGTTAAGTTCAGGTCTGCCACATCTTTCAGTACTCTGTGGAACCAGAGTGTTTTATATCTACTGTACGACTTTCCTTTGCAGGTTAAGAGCCATGTTAGAGCATCATGAACTAAGTTGGAGTTGGGATGTCTCAGTATGTGAGCCAGAAATTGGATACGTTTTTTCTTTAATAGGTTGTGAATTGGAGTGTGTAATTATTTTTTCCATAATTTATCGTTAGATATTAATCTGGGGTAGAACACATCATTTATGATCCTTAAGCGCTTGTTGATAAATATCTGACATTTCCTGTTATCAACTTTGCTAATTTCCCATGTTTCACAGCCGTATAACAGCATGGGGATCACAGTAGAATTAAAGATCCGTAATCTTGTAAGGGCCGGTATCTCCCTATTCTTCCAAAGCTTGAAATGTAGAGGCCTTTTTGTATTCTTAACTTTAGTTCTTCCTTACAACCTCCTCTATTATCTAGGGTGATTCCGAGATATTTTATTTGGGTGACTACCTTAATCACTTCCGATCCAATTACAATATTCTCTATGGGAGGAGTGTGTCTAGCCAAGAGGATCATGGTCTTCTTAAAATTTATTTCTAGCCCAACTTTTAGACTTATTGATTTCAATTAGTGGATGAGTATAAGTTTTTTTCAGGCATGATCACTATATCATCCGCATAGGATATAATCCTAATCTCTAGATGATATATATTATCTGGGAATGAGTTGAGTTCTAGCAGATTTGCAGCATCTAAGGTATCTTTTAGAATTTTGTTCATTACTATGTTGAAGAGGATAGAGGAGAGGACAAAGCCCTGTTTAACTCCTTTCTTTCTAAAAGGTGGAGAGGTTTTGTTATTTATTCTACACGAGGTGAGCAGATTGTTATATTGATTCCTTAAAATCTTAATTATATTAGTATCAATTCCAACTTCTAGTAGTATTCCCCAAAGGACGTTATCAAACGCTCGTTTAAAATCAATAAAAGTGAAGAGAAAAGGTAGTTTATATCTATCACATTTTTGAACAATGATTTTAAGAGTGAGAAATAGTTCCATAATATTCTTGCCTGGACTATAAGCGCAAATATATTTTGCGACGTTTGTAGAATGCTAGTCTTGAGGAGAACCACAAAGATTTTGGACGCAGTCGAAGTGGGTGCGATTGCCCTATAATCTCGGAAATTAGTTGGGTTAGAGGTCTTCGTGAAGTTGCAAAGAGTAGATGGATTCCAGTCTTTAGGAGTCATCCCTGAAGACCATATTTTATTGAAAATGAATAGCAGGAAGCTTGGTATGGCATCTGATGTGGCTTTTAGATGTTCTCCTGTTATATTATGCTTGCCCCGAGCTTTGTGATTCTTAAGTTTCTTCAGATCAGTAGAGATTTCAATCAATGAAAATTGGGAGTCAGTCAGTGAAAATTGGGAAGTAGTTTGTTGCTCGTATGATATCCTCTCAGGTTTCCTTGATTCAAAAAATATAATAATCTATCTAAAGCGCCATCTGATCGTCCTGGTCAATTATAACTTTGTTGTTCTCCAATCGAATGGATGGAAATTTTTTAAAGATTTTTGATTTACAGAAATGTTAAAGTTTACCATAAACGTTAAAAAGGCTATTATATTTATCATATTTTTGAACTCGGACTTTAAACGTTAACTTCTAGAAAGCCTTCCCCTGTCCCTTTTACTTTAATTGCAATAGGGTTGTAGGTATGGATATGGGCTGTTTATTCTGGTCCTCCCTTTCTGAATCAACCCACAAACGTTTAAACAATAGCCCTCGGACTATTGTGCGTACAAGTACGAACGGCTTGCCCACAAACATGTAAAGGGCTTCCATCTTTTTCCACTACATTTTATATAAATCCAATCAAATGGAAATGAAAAACCTAGCGTAGCTCTGTTGTATCTACAACGTTGAGAGGGCGAATTATCACTATCACGTAATATACGTATTATTTAATTATTCCGTATTTGATTTAATATTGTTAAAATAAAATATTTTTATGTAATAAAATGAAAACAAGTATTAAATTAGGTAAAAAGACAAAATAATATTTTTAAAATTTAGACTTCGGTCTGAACCGGTCTTATATTGGAGGACCCGATAATCCGGTCCATGTGTATTGGTTCAATCCGGTTTGTGTGTATCGGCTAGCCGACCAAAGATCGGACTGTTCACTAAAAAATTGCTATAAATATTTTAAATATTTATTCTATATTTTGTGGTAACTAAAATAGATGCATTTTATAAAATATTAATTTTCGATTTTTACGAAATTTAGCATACAACTAAGGTTCGTGCTACCTATAATTTGGAACTTTTTTTAACCTCCTAACTTTTATACTTTCAGAGATATCAAGGGTAGAGCATTAAAAATTACCCTTTAACAAGTGCTGGATGCTATTTAATCAATGATTGGTTAAAATATTTTGGGGCATCTTTTCCCCAAAAGAACCTTAACATCCCTATACAATATGCTACTGCTTTAAAATAACTAATTACCATTCAAAAATATTGTTATATTCACTCCAATTTATTTATCCTGTTCCTTCCATCCTTGGTCCTTCTTCAATTCTTTCTTGCTCGTTATAGTTCCCCATTTTATGTCTTTATCCTGTCTTATTTTAGTTTCACTACTCGTCTTGTCAGTTTCTTTTTGTATTCTCTCCCCCATGCTATCGTTTTCAATTCTTTCCGCACTCGAATCTATTTGTCATTGAAATTATAGAATACTATTCTTTATTAACCTCTCCATGCGTATTTCATACACATGTTTAAACATTACTTATATTTTATATGATTAGGGTCAACTAGTTCAGATGAACATATTTATGAGCTAAAAATGGCCATGTAAATGTTTGAAACGATTATATTATTTATATTATTTTGCATCCTGTATGAATGACAATTTTACATTTTAAACGATTATAAATAATATTCTTTTCATGTATAAAGAAATAAAACATGATTTAATTCATAGTTTATATTGAAAAGCGCCTAATATTGCTTATAAAAATTAAATTCATATTTTTTTAAATTTAAAATAAAGGATATTCTTATGATGTATAATGAAATAAAACATGATTTATTTCATAGAAGTTAAATTCAAAAATTTATGAATGGCAGTTATTTCAAATTGAAATATAATACCTAATATATTACTTATAAAAGCTAAATTAATAAATTTTACGAATTTATAAAAGACATTTCAATTTTAATGTTAATAAACAATATTCTCATGTACAAAGAAATATAGCATAATTTATATTAAAATATATCTAATACTGCATGAAAAACTAAATTCAGAAATCTTAAGAATTTATAATAAATTTTACTCTCATGATAAATATAATAAAGATTATATTGAAACATATCTAATATTTATAAAGGCTAAATTCATAAATTTTAAGAATTTATGAAAGACAATTAATCAATTCTCATGATACACAAAGAAATTTTGTTTTTTGGGAATATAGTGAGTGACCATTTTTGAATAAACTTTTTAATAAGAAATATAACATGAAATTTATATTGAAATTTACCTAATATTATAAAGAGATTCATAAATTTTAAGAATTTAAAGTGAATTAATCAACTTAGTTATATTCTCATGATATACAAAATGAAATGTGGTTTTCGAGAATTTAATGGCCATTTTGGGAATCATTTTAATACGACAAAAAACCTAATTTATCAATAAAAAATGTGAACCGGGGGGACGATACCTTTTATATAATATAAAACTTACTTTGAAACAAAATGACGTATATTAAATATTTTATTTTCTAAGATGTAGAAATATTTTTGATACTCCACGTCAAACCTTTACTCGACGATTTGTCCTATGATGGTAAACTTCAAAGGCAACATATACTATCATGCATCCGCGCCCTGAAAGCGGAATACCCGGCCATCAATAATATGGGTGCTTGTCCTGAATTTATGACAGGAGAAAACAGCGATAAAACCGAAGAATCTCTCCCGCGTAACAAAAGTTCTAACAACCTCAATAATACGGATACCGGATTCTCCTCCAACTCTAACAGAGTTTTAAATATATTTTTTTTGTTTATTATACGTAATCTCCCCGATTTCTCAAATTATCGTTCAACCTAATCTAAAACGTCAAATTTCATAAAAAAATATAAATGGTGATGTACGAAAAAAAGCAGACTATCTAATCGCATTACAATTTACTATTTATTATGAAAATATGTTTATTTGCTTTTTGAAAATGTTTAAATTATTTTTTTTTTAGAGTTTTAGGGGTTGTTTATAACCACTAATAATTAATTCTTTAATAGTCAGTCTAGATAATAATAAAAATTTTACAAAATCTATTAGGCTGAATTTATAATAAACGCAATGTTCAAGCGTTGCGTTATTTAACGCTATCGAAATCACAGCTGATTCCTCATTGCGAAAATAGAGATATTTTGCATAATATTTAAGAAATATCACATACCTTTTTATTATCGAATTTGCATATTTTTTTATCATCGTGAAACACATGTTTTTTAAATTTTAGCATAACTTTATCATCATAACGCTCCATATTAAAAATTATATCAATTTTTGGCTTGAAAAGCACCATTTTAACAGAATGCATTTACTATAAATTTGGCATTAAGTTTTTTGTTTGGATTATTAGCCTTTATCCTAATAAAAGAGAATTACTGTAGGAGGTTGATAGATTAGTAGGTAATCAGTAATCACTATAACTAATTACTTTAACAACACTAGTAATCACTATTAGAAAAATGACCATTATAAGAAAATGACCACAATGAAGAAGTGCTTACGAGGTATTTAATATAAGGATATGGTCATTATAAGGAGTTACTCATCATAAGAAGATGCAAGTGGTTGTAGCTTTACTAGAGTAAGCGCATTATTATAAATTAATAGCATAAAACCAAATTATATTTGGGCAATAACAAAAAAAATGACTAATTTTTCAAAATTGATCCAAAAATTTTTTATTTAAGGTAAAAAAAATACAAAACCATTTTTTGTATTTAATACTCATGTTCTAATTATTTATACCGTAAAAAATGTTAATTTTATACTGGTTAAAATTTATAAAAAAAAATAATCGAAATTTAAATAATTCCTAAAATTAAATATTGTAAAAAAAAGTCTGATTACAGTATAACGTCCAAGTACGACAAGAAAGCTAAAAGATTTTTTAGGAAAAAGAAAAACGAGGAAACAAAAGTTCAACAACTTACTAACGCGCAAGGGGAAAATGACCAATCTGTCGCGATAAAATCCATAATGCAAGGATTAGAAAAGGATACTAATTCTCTCGTCTCTTCCAATAAAACAAGCACCAAACACTCCAAAAAGATGGATAAAATTCAGAATCGAAGCAATTTTGCCACCTTTTTCAATTTGACCTCCTTCACTTCCGCCTCCGCTTCTTCGACTAACAAAAAGAAAAGGTTTTTCTTTTCCTCTTCCTCAAAATCTTCTTCAAATTTGGCAACCGCTCTTAATAGCTGTTCCAACGATAATTTGCTAAACCTCGAATACAAATCCGATGGCAAAAATTCCCGCAATCACGATAATTTTAAGAACGAATTTTCGATCGGTGAATCATCTCTCAACTATAGCGAAGGAAATGACCTTAGTGATAATTGTAAAAAAGGCGTCATGGTTGAATGTGCCCTAAATAAGGATGGCCACGTCGGGACGTCCAATTTTAAAAGACATTACCTTAAAAAATCAATAGGCACTGATCTAGGTAACCTTGAAATCGAAATTCATTAACATAATATTAGTTCAAAGATGTACCTATACTTTTAATCTACACCAGTGGTCGATACTCTGCTAGTATCGGTAATTGGGTGTCAGTATCGGCAAAATGGTGCTTTGATATTATTTTCTTTTTTAGAATAATCTTACGATAAGATAAGTTTACAATCTTAATCAGTTTATACAATAAATTATATCTATATTATTTTCTTTTCTCCCATCTTTAACGCTCCCTCGAGGAAAATCGTTTAATCCGAAGGCCCTGTCTTCTAAAATCGAGATTGACACGATTAACCAGGCCGGTTCTACTTTTAATGATAAAATGTTCGGACCCGCATCCTCCGATCATTTTTATCGAAACCGTTCCGCCTCGATTCAAAATTTCATGGTCCCGCCTTCCGATGAAACCTCCTTCCAATCCAAGAAACGGGAAGAAGCAAGATACAATTGCGACAACTCCGATCAAAGTATTTTATCAACAGAAAGGAATCTCACTAACCGAGAGGCTACAACAGGCTTTAATTCTATATTCAACGCCGATGAAGTAAATGATAAAGATGACACGAAAATGGGAGCCAATGAAGGCACAAAAGTGATGACCAACGAGGAATTGGACATGCCCCTAGAAAAAGAAGTTATCGCCAGCGAGAAAGTTCCGAAAATTGTCGAAACATTAAAAGATGGCCAACCCAATGCCATCATCTTGTCGGAACCCCTGAATTTCGACAATATTTTGGACCAGTATTTTAGTTCGATCATTGACGTTGGTTGCGATTACATACCCGAAGAGAGCGATACCGATTCGCGCAACACACATGAGAATAACAAGAATATTGACTACAATAAAAATGTAGAAAATGGCAGCGCTAAACGTGAGCCGAACAGGATTTCGGATCGAGAAGAAAATATGTCTAGAAAAGGAGAGAATAATAGCAGCAATTCTCCTTCTAAGAGTTTTAAAAACAATCTATTTAGTATGCCATTGAACAAGGATATCGATAAAACAAAGTTTAGTTATGTTTACGAAAATGAATCGGACGATACGCCTAACGATAAAACGGAAAAGCGTGATGATTCCAATGCGAAAGATGATAGAATATCTAACGAAAGTCAACTATATATTAAAAACAACCCCTCTTTCATTTATATCATAATTTATAATATATTTTATAAAACACGATTATTGGAAGATAATTTTACAGAGTACATATTCGATCCCCTAAAATTAAACAAGAGGGCAGTTTTTATTGAAATATCCTATCTTTGATAAAATTTTTATGTTATCAAAAAATAATCACAGGCACCAACATCGAATTCGTTACTTCTTCCTCTCAAATGAGCCTACGGCCTTCCCGCCTCTCCTCCTCTATGACGCATCTGCACAATCCAATTCCTTCCATACCAAGTCAACCACCCTCAATTCCCCAGTTTACGAAAACATCTAAAATTGCCCGCAATACGACTCACCATCATCACTCATTGAACCCTAATCAATCAAATCATGTTCACAATAACACTGGTAGTACCAATCGTTTCGCCTTTCGAATGAACCACAATAATCGTAGAGGTTTTTACGCTTCGGCTCACGCCGTTTACCAGCCTCCTTCGGATAACGCGAGAGAAGAGGGGCTAATTAGTACCGAAGGCGGCGATTGCGGGTGGGCTCAAAAGTCGAGGTTTAGCAAACAACATATACCTAGCTATCAACATAGTCAACGCCACAACTTAAGTGAATATGAGGAAATCTCGAGAGAAGATTTTCAAAATCCCGTCGAATGGGTTCATACTAACGAGAAAGAGGAAACGTACAATGGCCAATGGAAAAAAATAAACAAAGAACGGTACAGAAATATGGATGCTTCAAATTCGATGCAAAGATCATCCTACGTCGGTTACGATAATAGAAAAAAAAATGAGATAGATTCGGGTAGCATCGGACCGTGGATCGATCCACCCTACATGATTGGCTCATTAGCGAAGTCCTGGCAGAATTCTATATGTACCATTGGCGGGGCCAAGAAAGGGCATCAGTATCTGATTAACTCAACCGTTAGATCCACCAAATTTCGTCCAATGCCCGCAAATTTTCGAAGAGGACATGTACGGGAATGTCACGATTTTAACGCCGACAGTTGTTGCGATGACAGCATTTTGCCGCATAAAGATAAGATACGGGCGCATCCCGCTCAATGCGTTGGGAGGCGATACGAAAATTATTACGATGATAATGATATAAATCCCGATGAAATGATGATTGGGGATTTTGGCGAACATGCGCGAGAGGTTGAAGAGGAAAACGAGGATTTTTATGAAAACGATTATAATGTGGAAAGTTCGGTTCCAGTCAAAGAAATAAAGGACAAATACAACGTTAATAAGGGATCGAAGGGTAACGGAAACTATGTGTACGAAGATAAATTGAGACCGGATCGGGGTGAACCTGTGTATATCACTAGCAAAAAATATGATAGGCTGGGGTGGTGGATGGGTGTGTCTCTTAAAACGGGGGAGAGGGGTCTAGTTCCAAAGACTCGCTTGGTACCCACGAGGCATTCATCTTGCTTCGATGGCAAATACGGTGCACACTTGGAAGCTATTGAGTTAAGGGATGGAAGGGAGATTTCAAAGAATTATTACTATATTTATTACCCGTAACCCCTCGTTCACATTTAGCGCGAATTCGCGGCGAAAAATACAATAATATGGCATAATTTATATACTTCGCCGCGAATTCGCACACTGTGAATGCGGGGTAAGTCCAGAACTTATATTTTTGTTTCTCCTTCTAGTAAATTTTGACGAACGTCAACATCCAAATAAAAACTGGGGAAAAAAGTAAACAAATAATGCACGTTTTTTAAAAAAAAAAATTTTAATTTATTTTAAACAAATTTATAATAATTTTTTTTTCTATTTAATTTTAATTTATTTGATAGTTCTTTCATGTAAGATGAATTATGAAAGTTTATAATATCAATTTTTTCTTCAAATGTCATGATCATACCCCCCCCCCCCCCTCCCCCCAATATAATTTTATAATCATATGACAAATGGCTCCTTTTAAATTATGAACTTATTATACCTTATATTATTTATTTAAATAGATTTTATATTATAAAATTAGAGTTTACCCTGACAAATAAAACTTAAATTATGTTTGTTATTTAAAAATCATATTTTTAATATTAAATCGCCATCTAACGCTGTGGATACAACAGAGTTCCGCCAGAATATTCCTCATTTTTATCAAACTGAATAAGAAATTAGGGAATATTTATATGAGGAGCCCTTTACACCTTATTGTCCAGGCCGCACTTACCTGTACGACTAACAGCCCTAAAATCGTTACTTAAACGTTAAGCTGGAGGCAAAAGATAAACCCAAAATAACACATCCCATATTCAAGAACTTCTAATTAATATGGGAAAGTGTTTGGAGGGGGGGGGTCTTTGGATGATATTAAGTTTTAAAAAACTGAAAAATTAATAAGTAAGAGGAGTGTAATGAAAATTAACTAAGATTTCATTCAGTTTCATTGGTTGTTAAATTTGGAACAATATTTCGGCCTTAGAATATAGGATAGGAAATGTGCTAGTGAGTTGATAATTTTCAAGATCCTGGATTACAAACAACAACTTATATTTAAACTAATTTAGACCTTTAATTTTTATTAAATCAATATTCCATTCCATATAACATTTTTTTTTAAAAAAACGATTTACCTTTGCTTAATTTATTTTGATATTTTGTTATAAACAATTATAAAAATACCTTGGTAAATTATTTTTCTTTTAAAATTACGGGTAGATAATAAATTGGAAAAATATTCCAGTTGGCACTTTAAGTTGACCGATATTCTTTCCGTTATTCAAAATTTTAATTCGCCACATTTTTTTTAAGCGAAATTTGTAAAAAATAAATTATTTTTTTCAGAGTTCGAAGATAACTTTTTAAAATTAAATTTTACCTATAAATGCTATTTTTATAAGGCTGTGTTTTAAATATTCAAAATATAATTCATAAACTTTCGAAACTTTAAAAAAAAGAAACTATTTTTGATAAAAAAAAACATGCTTTAAATATATTTTTAAAAAATTTTAAAAATTCCAAATTTTAACATTTATACCATTAATAGATTAAAATTTAAAACTTCTGAAAATGATTTTATTTTTGTAAATTTTTAAACCAGGTTTAGGACACGTAAATAAAATCTTCTTTTTTATTAGTATAAATATTTTGTAACTTTCATGCATAAAAAAGTTATCTTTCAAAATGAAATCACAAAATTATTTTAGTAAAATTTTTCTTCTTCAAAATTCTGTTTTTTTCATATCTGAAGTTAATCTTTATTGAAAGTTTTTACATTTAACAGATGGTTTTGAATTTTTAAAAAATAAGCTATAAAAAACTTATTTAATGAACTTTTTTTTATTTTAAAATAAATTTAAATTGAGATTTTTGACTTTTAAATATAATTATCTTTCATTTCCGCCATCTTCTCCTTTCATGACAGATTGTAAACCATTAACGATTTCTAAAAAATTAAGCTTCTAGCCCATTGCTAATTCTAATTATTTATTAACTGAAGCTTGTTAACCATTAAATATTGATACTTGTTCAACATATCTAAGGTAGTCATATTATAACATCCCACCTGAAAAATCTCTTAAACCTTACATCTTATCTCGTATTTTCTGCGATATTTTTGTCTCAAATAAAACCACGCGTTTTCTCCACAATTTCTCCCAAATTTTTTACCGCCTCTACTAAATATTTTTTCTTAATATTTACTTTAACTTTTCTGAAAACCACACATTTTATTGCACTGTTTTTACCATATTTTTTCTTAAAACAAAACTTAGGGAACATCCTAAAATATTTTTCTAACCCTTTTTTTTAGAAAAATTTCAAAAAATATTTTTCCCAACTCAATATTTTCGATCATAAATTATTTATTTTATTAGCACATCCTTAATATCACACATATCATCATCATACTAAAAAAAGTTAATGTCGCTTTTTTACTTTAAATTCAGTTATCTCTAATGATCATATGATTTAATAACTTATTTTATTTCAAGTTACCCATTTTTTTTTTGCATTAGACTCCCAGTTACTTAGAATGATCTATGATTTAATAACACTATAGTCTGATACAACTATAAAAACATAAATTTCTTTAAATAATATCTATTATGAATGCTGGCTTTCGTGAATCTTTGCCCATTATTTCTCCAAATTAATGCGACTTTCTCTATTATACATTTTTAGTTTAATGTAAAATTTGTCTGCTACCTATCTATTTTTCAAATAAAAGATGCATACTTTTCATAATGACATTGCTCAAGACAAATATCTTATATATTCTCGTAAATATTTTGAAAAACCTTTTATTGCTATTTTTCTTCCCAATTAAAACAGCTATTAATCTCTCTATGGCCTTATAAACCTGTTTCTTTCTTACAAATATTTCAAAATACCATTCTTTTAAAAAACCTATTTAGTAGTCTTCTTCATTCTCCTCACAATCTTTACTTTTTTCCATATAAGCATTTATATTTTTCTTTTCAAAATAGCATAAAAATTTTCAAGATTCTTAAAATATTTTTTTGTTCATTTATAACCTTAGTTCCAAGATCAGATCTTAATAAGTCCTTAATTAAAATATTAGTTATTTGACCAAATTCTGTGACAACCCTATTAAATAGGCAACGCGAACGATCGCTCAAATCTATCCTACCAAACTTGAATGAAAACCATCAGATTTATTGATATAGTCCATTGAATAATATATAGTCTTGACTCCACTTAGATGTATTTTGCAGGAGGCTGAACTGATGACCATTAGTGGAGTTATAAATCTTAAAGTAACTTATGATTTTACCATGTAGTCATATGATCAAAAAAATCCTCATTCAGCCATAAGCCATGACGTGTAGTGTTGTTAAACGATTCGGAGATTTCTTGTCCAAACCTTTTTGCACTCTATGAGCAAAATCTCTCGAAAATATTGGGATAAGTTGAAAAAACGTTTAATAACACTACTGTTGTGATGCTAGGATTTCTCTATATGAAATTTTTTTTTATCAGTTGGAGGTAAAACTAATTTTTCGATTAATATAGCTTCTTTAAAAATAATTTGATTTATATTTTTTTATTGCATTTTTTTTCAAAATATTGTATATATATATATATGTAAATATAGCAAAGTAATGTATAATAAATATAGCGCGCAATATTTTTGATTATCGTAAAAAATAATATACATTAACATTTTTGCTTTTTAATGTTACTTACATTATTCTATGAATAACTTATACGAGGTTGTCCATTATATTTTATTTTCAACATTTTAACTAATAAGAATAAAAATTTGTTTTTCTAAATTACAAAAATATTTTTATAAAAAAAATTTAAATATCCTTTAAAAGGGGGAACTAAATTTTTAATACATATATAATAGATTGTCTAAACTAAATATGTAATAAAGGAGCATACACTTGCTAGTACTTTGTGATAAGAATTATCCAAAAAAAATAGTACAATTTTGACAAGTTTATGCTTTTCGACTTTAAAAAAACAAAATAATTAAGAGCAAAAAAAAACTTATAATGATAATATATATATAAAATTGAGATTAATTTGATTTTTTTTGAGACATCTACTATTTGTAAATGATAATTACAAATTTTATAAAGTAATATATGAATTATTATATAATATCACATTGTTAATAATTTCAAATATTATAGTATTTTCATCAATAATTTATTAATATTATTTGATTATATAAGTTAAATAAATATATATTTTTTTAGGTGGTGTAAAATTTTTGAAACAAACATATGATTAATAAAGAGTGTGAAGATGTCAAAACGATTTGTTAATAATTAACTGTCAAACTCGAGTAAGTATTGTGTGAGTTGTTTTAGTAAGTAGTAGATTTGTGTAAATAGTGAGATGTGGCCGAATATAATTGTTATTTCTAATGATGTTAAATAAAATAAATGATTATTATGGTTAGTCAATATTAATTGAGAATTTCAAAAAAAAAACTGGAAACAATTCTATAGATGAAAGAATGCTTTGAAATATTAAATTCTACCAGAAATATTTGGCTACCCAGAGCTTATCTTAGACTTAATAATACTTTTACTATGATAACTCAACATAAAGCATCCTTTTTTTCATGGAGGACGATTAAACAAGAAATTTACTTAAAATGTGGTATAGAAAGAGAAAAAAATGATATTATTATGTTTACATAACGAGCCAGAGCATAACGTCTATCTAAATATGAATATCTATCATCCTAGTTTGTATGGATGCTCCCTATTCAAAACAATCTTTCTAAGCTTGTTTATAGCACCTATTTAAAAAATATAAATGTATATATATATATATATTGTAAAAAGAAATAAAACTTTTTTAAAAATAAACCTTAAGAAGAATCTCAATTTTCGAATTCGTAATTTATTTAAGAATATATATATAAAAAACAGTTAATTTGATTAACATAAATATATATAATTTTATATATATATAATTATAAAAAATAAATTTTGATTGTAGATGGCGTTTTCAACTTTAAAATCTGATTATCATTCTTTAAAAAGTGATTTAATAAAACAGATGGGGGGAGGGGGGTAAGAGGCTAAGACTTAAGTTTGAACAATGATAATAATATTTAAAAAAGGTAAGATCGAAAAATCTAAGATTCAATTTTTTTTCGTTAAAAAAGAATAAGTTATTATATCACATGATTTGAGTTTGAGCAATAAATAAAAAACAAATCTTTAATACAAAATATAGGATATAAAGTATATAAAAAAGGAAAATGTTTTTGCTTTTAAAATTGCAAGTTAATATATAAAAAAAAATTGTAGTTAAAATAATTTACAATTGAGATTTTCCTACTATATAATTTATAATTTTTTTTTATTATAAATTTGGAATTTGTTTTTAAAAGTTCCACTATTGCCCCGGGTCTAATTTTTAGTTGAGTACTTTTTGGTTTTTTTTATTAAAGATCATGTCTTTTTAAAAAAAAATAATATACAGGTTTATATTAAATAAATATAATAAATAATATAAAGAAATTTAAATAATTATATATGCATTATTTTAATATGATTAATTAAATTTATAATTTAAATAAATAATTTGGTTATTTTATTTTTAAATTTTGTCAAAATATAAATTATTTAAACTAAAAGTTAAAAAAAGAAAGAAGGTAATTAAGCATCACATTTCATGGTGTGGTGAGGGTAAGCAAAAAATTACTGCCATTAAAATAAATTTCGCAATAATTGCATTTATCAAAAAAAAATATATTTTGGAAAAACAAAATATTTTTTCGCACAAGATATGTGATAAGAATATCAAAAATGTAAAAATCTTAATGCAAAATGATTCGTCGGAAAAAATATAATTCCACCTCCTAACAAAATTAAATATTTTGTTCTAAAAAAATTTAACCCTTCGTAAAATAAAATGGAATAATAAAATAAAAATATCCCTTAAAAATCGAAGCGATGTTTTTATATGTAGAAGTAATATAATGATATGAATATATTATTAAATTTTATTGAAATTTGGTCAAAATCACTAAAAAAATTTTTTTATCTTCCTTTACAATTTGCTATGGAGGAGTGCAGTTACTTAATATTTGTAAATAATTTAAATGATAGTCCTTCATAGAGTTCTGATTTAAGTATTAATGAACAAACGCACCGAAATGGGCGATGGCACCTTCGAAGGGGTATTCGAATACCGCGTTACCGGTCCGAGCGTCGAAATAGGGTTGAGGTTGGGTGTGATTCAAGTGGCTCAAATGACCGTTAAGTGGATCGTAATATAAAAAATGACCGGCAGCTCCACCGGTTGCAGTTTCGATATAAGGAGTCAAGGCGAATTGCTGCGGAGCGGGATTAAGGTTGGCTATGGGAGGGAAAGGTCTGATCGAAGAGGACGAAGTAGAAGTCGAGAGAGAGGAAGAAATGGAGGAACTGTTTGTGCTTGATCCATTGCAAGAAGGAGAATGAGATGCTGTTTCATTATTCAAATGATTGAGATGGGGGTGGTGTTGATGAAAGAGGTAAGGGTGGTGAGCGGTCATAAGAGGAGGTGATCCAGGGCTGCCCGAGGGAGATAAGGCGGTTAGCACTAAACTTCCTGCCGGGATAAAAGTATGCCCCCCGTGACCCATTGGAGTACTGGTTAAACGATGAGCATGGTGATGGGACAGAGGAGTTCCGTTATTCAGGTTGTTGAGCGAATTTATACTGTTTATAGTATTCAAGGTGTTTAAAGAATTGAAAGAGTTGGCGATAATGTGGTTGATCTGTTGGGAGTTGTCTAATTTTATGATTGATAATATAGAAGATAAAGCCTAATTTAAAAGAAAAGTATCAAATATAGGATTTTTTATTAAATTTAATGATGTCTGAATTGATTATAAATATATTAATTAAAAATTTATACATAGCAAAATATGTACTTTTGCAATTAGGATCCCTGAAGGTTCCATTTAGAATGGCTAATTCCATCAATTGCATCTTTTTTAGCTCATCCTCACCTTCGGCCTGATTTATTTTTTTAAAAATCAACAATATATGATCGTAATTAACTATTCAAGTTACAAGACAAATTTTACGAACAACGTAAAAAAACATGAAACTAACCGAGTAATGTTCCACCTTGAATTTAGAAAGCGTGATTTAAAATATAAAATATAGGGTATTAAATTAGGATTAAAAAAAGAAAGAATGATTATATAAAATTATTCGAGTGAGCTTCGTTTACCGCAGGTATCAATAATCTAGCTATCTCATCCTTAGCCCTATTCATTCGCATTATAGCTCGCTCTTCGGTGTCTTCTATGGTAATCAAGACGTGCAGCTCGTCACCCAGGTGTTCCCAGTTAGGTTTGCCCTTATTTTGTTCCTCCTATAATTAATCAATATGCGTGTTGTTTAAAAGTCAAATCTAAATGACTATAACTTAAGGTGAGTTAAAAATATTTCAGCAGTGGCTAGGAAAATTATTCATTTACTATGAGCAAAAAAATATATCAAAAAGGGAAATAATAAAATAATATGTTAATAGGTTTTTAAGAAAAATCCTCTCAATTTTTTTTATTGCTTTATTATATATAATATTTTAAGTTAATAACAAAAACACACACAAACTGTAATTTCAAAAGTGTTTATCATTTTCATGAAATTTTGAGATAATATTAAACAAATTCCGATGGAAATGAAATTTAATTATATAAACTGTAATCTGATATAGAACGTTTAAAATTATGAGGAGTTCTCAAATTTTTATTCATTTATCGGCCTAAGCCAGGCGCAAAAAAATACCCAGCCCTATTTTTTTAAATAGAATTAAAAAAAAAATTTGGATGGAAAATCGTTTTTATGATATGTTCACCAGATGACGAGAATAATATAATATTTAAGGGATATAATAGAAATAAAATTTGTGCAAATATCGATCCAACCATGAATTATAATATATTTGAATTATTTTAATTTACGGGGTAAATCGCTTCTACCCGCTAAAGACTTGCTTGAAGATCAATCCAATCACTCGATTTCCGGTTACGCTCTTGCGGAAGGTTTTGACCTTCCAACAGCGGAGCCCCGAAAAAGTGAAATGAATGAATGACCCACAAGGGCCTCGACGGGGGCAACCTATACCCCTTCGGAAAAATTGAAGTGAGTCCCGTATAGCTTCCCGTTATTTCGCGGAGAAACAACGGAGACCTGAGTTTTTTAATTTTCCTTACTCATTAGTTTAAGGCGGAGGAATGGGTTATACGATAATTTCATTTATATAAAATTATTTAACTTGGGATCATAGTGTATTAATCTTATAAATTTAACTTTTATCTGGTCAGATTGATTATTCTTTTTAAAATGGGCTCTCTTTGTAAAAAAAATTTCTTTTTTGGCATAATATAGAGTTCGAATTTAAATTTTTATTATAATTTATGAGCAAAAATCTACCTTTAACCTTTATACTATTTAGCGCCATCTTATGCGAAATTATTTATTTTAAATTTATACGTTAAAAATATTTAAAAAATCTTTTCTTCTTTTTCAAAACAAAAAAATAAATAATCTATAAACAAGAAATCGGAGTGATTATGAGATAATGATTAATAAGATAAACCTTGCAAAAAGGAGAAAATTCAATCAATATCAATATGACAATTTTAAATTTATTCTTTAAAGATAAAATATGCCCAAGAGACATAATTTAATTTTTTTTTAATTACCAAATTTAACATTGAAAAATTAAATCGACTAATCCTTCCTATGATATTTAAAAAAAAGTCAAGGTGTGCATATCTTTTTCTATTATGTATCGTAAAGAGAAATTAAGGTGAGCAACGTCCGAGTTTAAAGGTAGGAGCTATAATTAAAAAAAATATTTATTCGTTGACCTTTTTCTTGTCTCTCATTGAGCCTTTGCCGCGGATCATGATTTTGCAGCCGGTTTCTTGTTCTAAATGTTTGGCTGTCATACCTCGCGGACCCAAAATTCTCCCAATAAAATTAAACTATTTTTTTTATATATAAATTAATAAAACATTTAAAACTAAAATAGATTTTACTATGAAATGATAATTATTAGTATTGTTAAAATGCCGGTCAACATATATAGCGGTAACTAGTATTGTAAAAAAATGTGACAAATGACAATAACTAGGTGCATTTGGAATGCAAAGACAAAAGTAACAAGTTATTTAATGAAAAATATGCTAATTATTTATATATATATTATATATGTATCTCGTGAGATATGAAATCCATGGGGACTCGAAACTCAATTTTATATAATTTATTGAGGGGAACGATTTTTAAATTTGTAGAATCTGATTTGACCGGAAATGTATTCCGGCATATGTAAAGTAACGATCAAAAGAATTTTATATAATTTTTACCATTACATTTTGTGTATTAATCAGTTTATATATGAAAAATCGATTATATAAAAAAAAATGTAAATTAAGTGTGATTCAAAAATTTACTACAGAATTGTCTAAAATTCATAATTGGGGTATTCTATTCTATATGTACCGGAATAAATTTCCGGTTAAATAAGATTATCCAAATTTAAAAATTCCTTATCAGTAAATTATTTAAAATTAAGATATTTTCCATATCCTAATACGACATATATATATCACACGATCTTTAATAAGAATGATTCCCCGAATTTAAAATGAACTGTAATGTCATATTTACAGTAGTATTGTTAAAACGTCTCGATTGATAAAAATGGTGAGCCCAATATTTTAGCCAAAAAGTATCATGCAAGCCTGGAGATTTTGCTCATAGATACCAGAAAGGTTTGAACATCAATTAAAGAAATTTCGAGACTTGCGTAATATTTTTTTAGCGAAAATAATGGGCTAACAGTTTTTAAAAATCGAGTCGTTTAATAAAAACTATATTTACATAAACCGCTCAGGTAAAAACGTCATTTTTAGACACCAATTCTCCATATGGTTTAAAATAAAACTTTAATTGTCCAATTTTTTTTGTTTAAAAAATAAATATTAATTTTTTTTTATTCCCCAGTGCAAATAATTTCTTTTATTTAAAATTGTATTTTTATTTAAATTCTTTTGATTAAAAAAATTTGTAAATCGCAAAATTATTTTCTTCAATAAAAAAAAAATTATAAAGTTACTTTAAAAAAAAGAAGGTATTAAGAATATTAAACTTTTAATAACACTAATCATTATGTATCATTGAATAAGGCCCACTACATATATAAAAAATAAAACATAGCTCAAGGTACAACAATAACAAAGACGAAAGCGTGTAAAATTGAATGCATAAAAATAAACCACATAAAAAATGAATTACAGTAAAAAAAAAAAGAACAAAATTAATCAAAATATAACTAATAATATTCTGACAAACTGTAAAATGTGACTGTAAATAATGAAAAAATGATTAATTATTTATAATAATTATTATAAAATAAATTCCAACATAATATGCTAATATCCTTTGTTTTTAAATCTTCAAATTTTCATTATATTTTAAAAATGCTTTTTAAATCAAATATTTTAACACATAAAAAATCACTTTTTAAATTAAATAATTTAACACTTAAATCACCAAAGATTGACTTTCTCTCCATTTTTAAAAAAGGAGACTTATATTTGAGTTATAAATGGCCGTCGATACAATTGTTTGTATAGGCTAAAATGAGTAACGGCGTAATTTCTTATATTATAAAGTTAGTTACTAACTTCGGGATAGTCCTTCGTGGGCACGTAAATTTTATCGGAGAGTGTGACCATAGAACCCGTTGGTTCAGGGAGATCCAGCGGTTCCGATTTGGTATTGCAATTAGAATTGAGCAAAAGAGCCCTGACTTTACCAATTTCTACCCAATCAAATAATATATTTTAAGAAATTTGAAAATATTACTTTTAGTATATTTAGTTAATAAACTGTAAAGAATAAAAATGATTTAGAGGCCATCCCTCCCAGGTCTCTTTTTTAAATCTAAGCATTTTTTCCAAATTATTTAAAAATTTCGAAAATATATCTAATTATCATTTATATTAAAATAACAATTAAAGTGATATACATACAATACAATACAAATATCAATTTTTGTTTCGAATTTTAAAATAACAAAAATAATAATATAAACAAATTTAATAGGTCAACCAAAACATTAACAAAAAAGTATATCTTTTTATCTGAGCCAAATAATGTTTAAATTTGATAGAAATAATAACTGATTGTCCATCCTACTTAATTCTATGTTATAAATTAAAAAGTTTGAATAAGACATCGCTAGGATTGTTATGATTTAATCCAATTGTTTAAATGAATCATGATTAAAATCAATGCTTTTTTAAAAATCACAATTTTAAGCCAATTTCCTTATTAGCTTATAATTTAAATAATTAGTTTTCAATTTTTTCAAAAAAATATTATCCTATTTTACTATATTTTGCCACAAACGATGAAATCAATTGTTAAATTTGATTAATACTGAGCTAACCGGAAATAAAAATTAAAATTTTTAATGTAATAAACTCCTTTAAAAAAAATATAAGAACAATTTACCCTTATCGATGTATATTAATATTTTGGATACAAGAAGATTTTCATAGTTTTATATAAAAAATATTAATTTTAATCCTAGTTTTTTTAATTTTATATAAAAATAAAGTATTAGTTAAATTAAAATAATCATACATTACAATAAAATTGTTTGTTAATTTATAAACTGGTGTTTTTTAGTCAATCCATTAGAGTTTAACGAATTTCGCAGAAAAACAGATGTTTAATTCAACTTAATATAATTTCTCCTCGGGGATTATATTTTATTCCAGGAAGATATACATATAAAACTTGATTTATAAAAAATAAATAGCGATTTAATTTTTTAAATAAATCAAGATTTTGGCCCCTATCCGGTGTTAGCAAGTGGGTAACGCCGTTCCTCTAGGTATTAAATAAAAATGTTAAGCGTTTAAACAAGACTTATTAAGCACAGCTTGTTAATAAGAGTTATAATATCGTGTCGGTTTTATCATTTAAAGGCGAATATTTTTTTTTCCTATTCAAGCGTGCGCTAAAAAAAACGATTTGAATTAACAAATTCAATGCAGGCGGGTGGGGTGAACGTTTGCGGCTGTTTAGTGACCGGATTCTGAGTATTCAAACATTTTATGCACCAGAAAAATGAACTAAATAGTCGCCACCCCCTTTACCAATAAAATCGGAAATTGAAATCAAGATGCTAAAAAAAATTTTTTTATCAGAAACTCTTTCATTCCTCTTTTTTTAATGAGAGAAAAGTACAAAATAAATTTGCTTTGAACAATTTTCTCTGATCAATTGAACAAAATCAATCGTCATTTTCTTAAAATTTAAGTAAGCCATAATCTCTCAAATTTCTTCCCATCGCGAATAACCGAAAAATGAAACTATATTCTGCCCCCATTCCTCTTGTTTTAAGAGAGAATTAATAACTATCTGCGTACAGGGTTGACAGGTCAAAATTTTCAAATTGAGGGAGAAATTTTATATTTTGCGGGTGAAATATAAAAATTGCTGAAAAAATTTTTTTTTGCGGGCCATAATTACTTTATATAGATATTAACAAAGTCAGTAACGTTTTATAATTGTAAAATAGGTAGCACACATATAAAATATGAATAATGTTTATTATTGGATAAAAATACATATGATTAAGGTAAGGATTGAAAGGAAAGAGCCATGTTTTTTGAATAAATAATTAAAATTTATTTTAATATAAAAATCAGAGGCCTGCAGAAGTACCATTTAAATGGCCCGGATTTTTTTAAAAAAAATTTTTTCGTTTTAAAAAATTTTCAGGTCCGGTCCAGATTTTTTTTAAATAATATTTTATTTATTTTTGATTTTTATAGCTATTAACGGCGATTTCAAATATTTGGTTTTAAAATATACGGCCCGGCCCGGATATTTTTTTTAAAAATATGTTCAGGCCAGGCCCAGTAAAAAATAAAATAGGGCCTGGCCGGATTTGCAGGTCTCTGATAAAAATAATCAATTACTGTTTCTCAAAATTATTAGCCTAATTTTTCAAGCCCGGCCCGAAATTTTTTTTAAAAAAGTTTTGCCGCCGGGCCCGAACCCGAAATTTTTTAAAAAAGTTTTGCAGGCCCGGCCCGAGCCCGATTTTTTTTTAAAAAAATTTACCGACTAGGCCCAGCCCGAATTTATTTAAATATAGAAATTATATTTATAATTACTCAAAATAAAAGACATATGTTATATGTAGTTTAGTTTCAATAAATAAAATCAAATATTTTTATTTTATATAAAAAATTTAAAATAACTTGATGAATTTAGATATATTTTTAAAAAAAATTTAAGGTCCGACCCGGCCCGATTTTTTTTAAAAAAATATTAGGCCCGGCCCGAACCCAATTATTTTAAATAGAATTAGGCCCGAGCCCCTCGGGCCGGGCCTAACTTTGCAGATCTCTAATTTATATCTTAAAAACGTTAAAATGTTTAAAAAAATTGCGTTAGTTTTGCGGGAGAGAGATGTCTGCGTGTAAAATAAAAAATCGCGGGAGTCTCCTGCTGATGAGGGGAGACCTGGCAACCCTGTCTGCGGTACCGTTCAAACTAGATTTTAGGAAATATTTTTATAAATTAAAAGAAAGAAAGAAAAAAGGAAGAAAGATTTTAATATTATAAGTAAAGTATATTTTATTTAGGTTTTTTGTTGATGTAAACAAAATAAAATATGGACATGGGGTTAGCATCCTTTCAAAATAGATTAATTATTTTTTTAAAATAATTTTAAATATCAAAATAAGCTATAAATTAAATTTGATCAGAAAAGATGGTCTCCTTTCGTTTACCCCTCTAAATAAAATCTTTTTTTTTATAAAGAGCTTCTAATGTGCCAATTCATAGATAAAGAAAAACGTTTGTTTTATTCGCTTTGCCCAAATATTTATAATAATCTTCGGCTTCCATTGTAATCCGTTTTAGTTATATTCCTTCGCTCTTTCTTTTCTTTCTATCTACGAACTTTAAACTAAAATAATCATTTAAAAATATAAAACATCGTGAGTGGTACGATAATTAAAAATAAAAATTGCACCGCCAACCCCCAAATAATTAGTGTAAATGCCTTTTATTTTTTAAAAAAAAATTTTTCGCGAAGAAAGTAAAGCAAACAGATTAAAATACAAAAAAAATTTTTTCTTGCTCTAAGCCTTATCTGCCCACCATATGCGCTCAATCTGTCATAACTCATAAGAGAATCTTCTTCTGTTTTTTTTTTATAAACTAACACGAAATTTGTAAAAATAAAAAATAAATTATAATATTATTTTTTTATTTTTGTGCCAAATGCCAATAAAATGCAAAATAATATTTTTTTTAAAAAAATTAATGTATTTCTAACGATAGAGAATGCATCGGACAACTTTGACTGCTCATGGTCTTTTTTTTAATAAAAAAATATATTTGTTTTGTGGAGCAAATTGAGCAATGAGTAAATTAGATAATGAAAGAGTTTATTTTTTTATCGGCAAAAAATAATAAAAGTGGTAAAGTGAATTAATATTCATTTTTTATATATATTTTAAAATTTATGAAGTTCTTTATATCATGTTTTATAGTTAGCGAGTCAAAGAGTAGTTTATTTTTTTTCTTTGAAGAAAACCAAATCCCACCTTTTCGACAAAGCTAAAAGTATACCAAAAGCGTTAATAGTAAATTAAAAATCGAACGTTGCAAAAATATCTTTCCGAAAAGGGATATTCAGGGCTTTTGTATTATTTATTAACGTCTGTATATTTACTTTTAGTTTTAATAAACTCCCTATTTAAAAGGGAGTAGAAATATATTTATCACCAAATATAAATTATTAACAATATATTTAAGTTTAATTTTTTATATCTAATGTAATAAACTCTAAAGATTCAATCTCATAAACTAGAATGCTGATATATGGCAAGAGCCGCATCTATGAGGAGGGGGGGATTTGGAGGCTTCACCCCCCTTCACAAAATTCCTCGCCCTCTCATGAGATATTAAATATTTTGCGTTTCAGGCAATTTTCATACACTTAGAAGTAAATTTTAGAAGAAGAAAATATATTAAAATTGCTATAAATTATCATTAATATTGCATAATTTTGGTTAATATTACATAAATTATTATTATTATTCATAATTTAGCTATTTATCAATTATTTATATTTTTCTATGATTCATTACATATTTTTATTTATTACCTAATTCATATTCTAATTTTTATTCATCATAAAAAAAGTGATCGAATTAGGCAATTTTCGTTCGAATACGATTGACATATATTACAGGTCCGACCCGGGTACATGGGCCGCTGGGCCGTACATTTTATAAACCAAATATTTAAAATCGGTCTTTCTTTCTTTCTTTCTTTCTTTCTTTCTTTCGAAGAGAAGAGAAGAGAAGAGAAGAAGAGAAGAGAAGAGAAGAGAAGAGAAGAGAAGAGAAGAGAAGAGAAGAGAAGAGAAGAGTTAGCTATAAAAATCAACAATAAATATAATATATTTTTTAAAAGTCTAAGCAGGACCTGAAATATTTTTTTCAAAAAAAAAATCCGGACCGGGCTTGGCGATGCAAATGGTACCTCTGCAGGTCTCTGATATATATATATATGCAATTTCTGATCAAAATATGCAAAAAAAAAATTAAGCCCCTGCTCCCTTCCCTACTAATTATTTTTTATTTACGGCCCCGGATATGACCTTAGTTGAGTTATCAAGGAATACATACGAAACATGAATATAATTTTTTAAACAAAGTGGAGCAAATGATAAACGCACAAAAAAAACCTACTCGGACTATCAGTACTTTGATGCAAACATTTATCGCAAATCGCAACCAAAAATTTAAGCAAAATGATTTTTTCAATAACAAAAAATGGATTTAAAATTCGATAATCAGATATGAAGAAAGAAAGGCATATTTTATCGATCAACCCCAAAAAAGACAGCTATTTTAAATGGTAGTTTTTCATTAAAAGAAAAATATTAACATTTTCCGAAAAATATTTAAAAATAAATTAATTTTTGATCTAATTTATAAAACTAGAGGAAACCTCGTTTTTACGCTTTTTTATGATTTATAAAAATAAAATATTAAATTGCAATTCATAAATAATAAAAATGCAGCATGTGAAAAGATCGTATATCGAAATTTGAATTATGAGAAACGCGTTAGATTCTAAAAAAAATTATGAATGAAATTTTAAATTTGTCACAAGGATAAATAATTCTAAGTTAATTTTTCTTTCTTAAATTTGATTCAAAAAAATTAATGATTAATATATAGTATTCTTAGAATTCAAAGATTTAGCAATATATTTTTTTATACCTTCCTTTCTCGTTCTTTCATTTATACAAATTCAAATAAAAATAGTAATTATAACATTATATTCATATGTAATAATACATTACAGTGTCTCGTTAAATCAAATCTTTAAAAGTTTGGAAATACTTATTGATAATATTAAATGTTAGTTATGTTTTCTCAACTTCAAATCTTAACATGTATCAAGTTGAGAATAAGTCCACATTAAAAAAAAACATGCATATGATTAGAGTGCACATTTTTAGAAGAATAACAAGTAACAATGATATTGCTGAGAAAAACATTTTAACAATGAGGTTATTTATTTATAATAAAGATATATTAAATCCTAGGAATAGACAAATCTATTAAACACAAATTTTGATTATTGTGTAACACTTTGTAAAGCAGTTGTTTATCTTTATATTATTTACTTTTTTTTTAAAAAAACATAATAAAATAATTTAAAATAATTAAGAGTAAATCAATTATAAAACATACAAAAAACTAAGCAGGGCTTTTTGTAAAAGAAAAATAATTTGTCATTAATCTTAACAAAATGAAAGAATTTTAATAATGTATATGAATTTTAATGTTTTTTTTATTGAATATAAGGATGTCAAATTCAAAAATCTTATGGAGCATCTGTAAGTCGATCATTTTTGACCAATCCAACCTATAGGAAGAAAATCATTTTTGGAACCTGACTCTTAAAATTTTTTCTATACCCAACCTCACACAAAATTAATTCCATATTTATCACCCAATGCAATAACAATCAAAAAATATATTTAAAAAAAATACCCAATAGATTTTTTAGTATGTTATAAGAAATAATCTAAAAATAAACAAAATTTTAAAATAATATACAATCAAAATATGATTTAGCAAAATTATTTTTAAAAAGTCTCCAAACTAGAAGCATCACCTAGAAAAAACAGACCTGACCCAAAAGAAAATCATTATAATGAACCAACCTAACCCATGGGTTTAGTATTATGGAGACCTCTAATTTGGTTAAGACTGCACCTATTGTTATATATAATTGTAAGCATATATTCTTATAAATTAGTACATATAGGTTAATAAATTTGTGTAAGCAGTTATATTAAATAGTAATTCTTAAACATTACCATCATCTAAAAGCCGGTCTAGGTGCATGAATAAATTGGGAAATGTTGTAATTTGTTTTTTATCTTTAAGCAATTGGGCCAAATATTCAGTAGTGCTGTTGTTATTAGATTTAGTATCATGCTTAGTATTGTCATTCATATTTAATTTAATCTATAATATTAATATTTTAATAAAAAATTTAAACTATTACTATTTATTTTACAAAAGATAAGTGGAATAATTTTTTACTTCTAATAAATTGTGAAGAATTTAAAGAACAATAATGAATGCCAAGATGATATGTTAGTTGGTTAGATGTTAAATAATTAATATAACCTAAATTTAATCCGAAATTAATAGTCTTACTTATTCTTTAATATTATAATAATTTTTAAAATATAATAAACATAAATTTAAAATAAAATTTAAGTAAAGGACATTTTAAATTGCGGTTCTACAATAAATTTAAGTTTAAAATAACTGCTGATATAGATTATTGATAAATATTTATAATATAATATATTATAATTATTTGCTTACTACATATGCTTGAGGCTTTAATTATTTATATTTTGATATATTGTATTGAAAACAAAATAATACATATCATTATAATAAAAAATTGGATTATTTAAGCAAATTTATATTAAATTTAAATCAATTTTTGTAACCATAGTAAAAAAAAAGAAGTTTACATCAGGTTTCAAATAATTTATTTTACACCCGTAGGGCTTATAAATAATCATATGTTGTAAACACTATTTAAAATTTTTAAGACAACGACTTTATATAAAAATATTTAAGTATTTTAAATTATTTAAAATGTATTATTATAAAAATTAATTCCTCCATTCGAAGATATAATTATTTTTAGCTTGAAAAATATTCAATAAAATAATTCATAAGGAATCTTTTTTTAATAATTTCAAAATATGTGATAGTTAAGCAAGAAACCAAAAAAAAGCTAGTTAAATAGACAAGGAAGTGTTAAATAACTTAGCCCATTTTTTAATTAATAATAAGGGATACATAATTTTGCATATTTGTCGTAAATTTATTATTTTAAATGTTAAGTGAATAAGCAGATTAACATTTAATTAATTTATGTTCTATTTAAAATATAGTGATAATATTTTCATAATTCTCTTTTTTTACATCAAAATCAAGATATAAAACTATAATTAACAAGTAAGTTTAATAAAATAAATAAGGCTCATAAAAATATATAAGTTGTTAAAGTTTTAGATCCAATAAATATGAATAATGAAATATAATATGATAAGTTATGCATATCAAATGTTAAAAAATTCAATTTGAATAAGAAACAGAATATAAGTTATTTGGCTAAATTATAAAACTTAAATAAGAAAAAAGCTAATCGTTCAAATAAAAAGAGGTTATACCTTAATTCACTAAACATGGGTCTTTTAGACACATACGAAATTTGAAAATTATGATTATATTTCCAAATACCATATGGTGCAATCTTTAAAATATAAGTATTGTTGTTATTAAAAATCTACAAAATCTTTTTATCTTAAATTACGTAGTTTTAAATAAAAATCGGTCTATTGAATCCATATGTAGTGTAAAGTTATGTTTTTAATTTTTAAGAAATAAAATTATATATTTATCATATTATTTTTATCGAAATTCCATTGAGGACCATTCTTATTAAATTTCTATTTGTGACATAGAATTTTTTTTAGAATTTGATACATAGCAGAATGACATTTATAAATTAAAATATTTCCCCTTTTATTACCTTAGTGTCACATGGACATGAATTTCCATTTTTTTGTGAATGATAATCAAAAATTATATTTTCGTGGAATCTTATTATAATATATGTTTTATTTTTGTTTAATGAAGTCATTACGATCATGGTTTATTTTATTTTATCTTTAAGATTTGATTTTAATATGTGTTTTATCAAGTAGCGCCACATCTCCTAGTTGCGATAACATCACTCGTTTCGACAGATGATCAGCGTAAACAATATATGAATGATTATAACTTTTTGACATAATCATTTTTTTCCGTCAGCCTGACGTACTTTTGTTCTGTACACAAATTCGGCTACAAATTTATAAAGTATCGTATCTTACATTTTAAATATCAATTTATTATTTGTAGATTATGCGAATTTTCTATTTCATTAAGGGCATTCGGTCTTACCCAATCGAGGCAGGTTTATGCCTGCCTGCCCAACGTTATCGTAGAAGGACTGCGGCCAGTGATATTATGTTAACTCATACGATATGTTTTAAAAACATTTCTTAAGGCATTTCCAGAATCTGGTCCTCTATCTAGCTCTATATCTTTTCTTGAGTGTAGGAATCGTTCTTTCAACTTTACCATCTGCCTATTATAAGGTGTTGATTTAATATGAATAATATTTTTTGATTGGCAAAACAACTAAAATTCTAGTGATAGGAATTGTAGACTGTTGTCGGAAACAACCTTCTAATATTTGTGTCGGCATTCGTATTTTTTTAAACGAGCTACCTCTACCCATTTTGAATAAGAATCTAACCAATAACAATAATCCAATTGTTCCGCCATATCTATGTGTAATATTTTACATCAACAATTGCACTTCTGATATTTTAGGTCTGTGAACCTATCAACCAGCACAATTATTGACATTCGCATCTATTTCACACAATCCAGGCACCAACAATTTAATAGAAAAATCGATTTCATAGCAATTATTGCCAAGACCTCGACAAATATTATCTCGTCGGAATGTTATCGGAATAACAATCCTGCCATTCCACTGAAGAATATCTCGTTACATTGCTATCTCTTTCCAGGGATAGAAATAACTTAATAGCTCGGGCTCATCAATTTAATTAAATGTTCTGCAAGTTAGTTAAATTTGATAATTTACAGGCTTGAGTTCCTTATCTATTAATGATTCTTGTCTTAATCTATCCTCTGACATCATAATATCCCTAAATCCTTAAGACAAAAATTATTGTTTAATATCGAGATTTATAGTGTCTTCCTTAATAAGATCGAAATAATGCATCAGATAAAAGTATTTTTCTCCCAAACCTTTAAGTAATATCAAAATCATATGGAGACCTATTTCAAGCCCTTATTGTTGAACGATTATTAATTTTTTTAAATTTTTTCGCCAATCAAAAGTCATAATGTCGTATGATCCGTGATTAAATTAAATCATCTCCCAAAAATAATTGGTAGGCCTCTTTAAAACAACAAAGCGCTAGTTTCGTTATCTATTGGAGCGTAATCTATGTAAATGAATCAGCATCCTGGATGCATATGCATATGGTTTTTTTATTTCATTAGGTAAATTGTATAGCAAAACTGTATCATATCAATGCATCCATTAAAAGTACAAGGGACAAATCAGCTAAATATGTCATTAATGTCTTATCAGTTGCCAATAACGTTTTATATTTTCAAAATTTGCTCTTCAGTAGCCAATGTCCAAAGAACCTCGATAATCGTCAATCAATGTATAGGAGCAAACTTTCTATGAAGATTTTAACTGAATCCTTCATTATAATTATTCAAGCCGAGAAAAGTTCTAAGCTGGTGTAGATTGTAGGCGTTGAAGCTTCCTAGGTGGCTTTGACTTTGTTTTATCTCGTATAAATTCCTGTTTTGTCAATGTTCACTTCTAAAAATGAAGTATCTTCTAAAAATTTTACTTTTAAAAATTTAATTTTTAAACCGGATTTTTATAACCGCTTTAAAAATCCTGGAAGATTAATGAGAAGCTTTTCGTCATTTTTACCTGACACAGTGACACCATCAATATAAACCCCAATCATAAGGAAATCTTTCAACAAATTATCCATATATATCTAAAAAATAGTTGGTGCACAATAAATCTCTAGTGACATCCTATGATATCGAAAGTATCCTTTGTGTATTGCATAATTAAATAATCTTGTGATATTCAATCTTCTTTTCAAGTTTGCAGCCATTAGATGAATTATTTATTGTATATTTAAGTTCATCCCGCGAGTAGATCCCCCAGAGTTGGAATAATGATGATCAAATTGATCAAGAGTGAGCTTAAAATCCGCATATAGCTTAATTTCCTCATTAGATTTGAATACATATACTGGAGGGGTATTCCATTCTCTAGTTGTATCCGGATTGGAATGTAATATTCTAGCGAATCGGTTGACGAAGCGGTAATCTCTTAGTGGAATTGTTATGGAACAGAAGAATCCTCTAAATAAATTTCCCAGCAAAATATAGAATACATCCAGGTTTATTAACAAATATCTGTATATACTAGTTAATTAATTTTTATTTTTGACTAAAATTCTTAAATTATACATATGTCTTTGTCGTATCAATGTTGTTTTCTTCAATTTCGATCAAAACCTGGTGCTGCATTTCCATGTTGAAGGATATATCCAACAATCTAATCTAATTAAAGGAGTATCGTTTGTGTTGAGTGTAATTACTGGTAATATATTTACGCTACGATTTGTGCATGAATGTTAATTTCTCCTTTAACCAAAAGGATGATTTCCATAAGCTGTGAATGGATGACTTGATACTTGTTGCCCTATTTTCTTCCAAATATCTTTCCCAACTAACGATGCCTGGGCACTAGTATTGAAATCAAAATCAACATTTAAACAATTTACCTTCCCTAATGTCCAAGCATTTCCGCTAGCCATGAGAAAATTCTTTAGGCTTACATAATGTTATTTTGGTTATAATCTTATTCTTTTCTTATTTTTATAGGATTTAATTTCTTATTTTTATATAATCTAATTTCTTATTTTTATAAATTTACTTTTATTTCCAAATAATAAACAGAATAAAAATATAATATTAAATTCTTCTTTTTCAGGGTTTTTATAACCCACATAAATAAAAAAAATAATATTGATAAAAAACAAATAATATTGATTAAAAGAAATAATATTGACAAAAAAAAATAATATTGATTAAAATATTGACAACAAAAATATTCAAAATGACTTGCTATAAAAACAAAAAAAATATTTACAACACGCCCCCCCCCCCATTAATTACAATTAAACCTGCTATATAAAGAGAAGAAGAAAAAACTAACATGAAAACACAAAAAAAATAACATTGACGCGGAAGTGAACAACACTATTGTATATATATTATCGCACATATGTTTCCCCCTTTTTTTATTTATTTTA